CCTACCTACCTACCTACCTACCTACCTACCTACCTACCTACCTACCTACCTACCTACCTACCTACCTACCTATCTATCTAATCATCCTTCTGCCTCTGCCTCCTCCATCTTCATCCGTCTGTCTGTATCTCCTTTTCTCTCCCTCATTCATATCTATATTTACAGTATATCCATTTCCATAGGAGGAATATCTAAGTTGCATGCATAGCTACGGTTATTTTTTCCTGGTCTTCAAGGCATTTGAGTCTTCATTCCCTAAAATATCTCTACTCCCTTTCCTTTAATAGGTGCTACAAAAAGTCATTTTTCAACCTAATGAGGAGTTGGGACACTGATAAATATACAGAAATGTCTCCTTCCTTTGCAGAGCTCCTTAGTTATGGTTAACATTCGTCAAAATTAACATGCCGGGAAGATTCAGCTGAGGCATGTCCTTTTTGAAGAATGGCCCTTCTGTGAGTTTTGGGGCTATCTGCATCTGTGGTGTCCTTATCCATGCATTAGACCTGCTAATGGGTGGCATATAAATCCAATAAACCAAACCAAACCAAACCAAACCAATACCTGTCATGAAATATTCCAGTCTACAGCTCTCCTATAGGAAAGTAGGTTTAGGAAGGCCCTAGTATAGGAATTCAAATGAAACCTGCCCACTCAGACAACTCTCCAACCTGTGCCTGAAAATATCCTTTAAAGGGGACTATTTATCATTGCCCTAGATCAGTGGTTTTCAACCTGTGGGTTGGGACCCTTTTGGGGGTCGAACGACCCTTTCACAGGGGTCGCCTAAGACCATTGGAAAACACGTATTTTCAAAAAAAATACGGAAAACATAAAATAATTTTATGGTTGGGGGTCACCACAACACGAGGAACTGTATTAAAGGGTCGCGGCATTAGGAAGGTGGAGAAGGTAGATTGTGACTTTACTGTTGAACTATTATTATTTTCAAAAAGTTTGGCAACACATAAACAGACATCCTCCCATTACTCAGTTATTCCATGTTCGGTATTTCTGAACAACGAGGAACAAGTGCTTGTCTTCTTTGCCTTCTTCTGTGGAAACATCTGTGGAACCGAGAAGTTTCTATACCCATTTGCACTGAATAGTGTAAATGGGCGTGGAACCTTCTTGGAACTGCTGAAAGGGACTGTGTTGTAAACTGTTGCTCAGCTCTTGCAAGTTTTTAAAGTTTGACATCTCAGATGAAGTTAACTTCCATGTTTGTGGATTGCACGAAGTATCTAAGAAATTTCTACATTGTCTTTCTTCATCTGGAGTGTGTGTGTGTGTGTGTGTGTGTGTGTGTGTGTGTGTGTGTGTGTGTGTGTCTCGGATTACATTTTCCATTATTTCCAAGCATTTTACCAGGCCAATTGAGGGCTGAAGGTCAGTTGCCATCCAAAGAATTTGAAGAAATGTGGGCAAACACAGGTCTTATTGTTGTTATTGGAAGTTCTAGATCATTGAGGTTGTAATTGCAGCATATACAGAAGACTCTGGCTTGGGGAAATTTGAAACTGATACTGAGAGGAATAGCGGGCCGTGGAAAAATTAAGATAGCTAAACTTTAAAATGTGACAGATGGTTTTTGAAGCATTACATGAAAATGAACATATTTCTGGACTTCACAATTGACTGTGTTAATTAATTATGGATACATTACAGACTCTAAATCTCTATCCAGTATTCTTTAATTAAATCATGTTTCACATTGTTGTTCCTTTGAATTGGCCCGTTCCGAGGACTTTGCGTTGAGCGTAGTCGAACGGCCTTCTGTTGCTTTTGTAGATCTATGAGACTAAGGCACCCATCGTCCCACGAGGACTTTTAGAACTGTTAGGAGTTATAATCCCAACGTACTAGAAAGCCCCAAGTTGGGAAAAGGCTAAATTAATTGTGAAGGAAATATAAAATTTAAACACCTTGGATGGAATCCAAGATCTAATAGCATTCAAGGAGATTGCTCTTTTATTTCCTAGATGTTATCCTTAAATCCTGGTCTTTTCTTCAAACGGGTGTTGGACAGATCTTTTGCAAAATAAATGGAAGACCCACGAGAGCTGGCAATTTTGGGAATTACAGTCTCAATATCTCTTAAAATATTACAGGACCCGTAGCATTCGAACTTGAGAGGAGCCTTATGATCTTCTTACTTCCGTCAACTTTCTTGGTACCCTTTAAACGCTCTACATGGAGCTACCCTTGAAAAGCATCCAGGAATTCCAATTGGTTCATAATGCAACGGTCTGCGTGGTTTTGCACAAAATCAGGTGTGCATCTCTCTTGCAGAAGCAATTCAGCACATGTTCCCTTTAAATCCCTTCATGTTTTTGGACAAGTGATCTGAACTACCATCTCTTCCTGGTTACATCACGCAACCCACCAGGAAGGTAAAGCAGGGAATGTGGCAGGTCCTGTCTCCTAAGGCGGTCCATCTGCCGTAACCCAGAAGAAGGGCCTTCTTCCTGGTGGCTCCCTCCCTTTGGAACATCCACCTCCTAGAGATTACATGCCTCTCACTTTGACACTCGTTCTAAAGACTTGGTTTGGCCAACGGGCTTTGAGAACCCAGACTGGGATGGGGCCCCTCAAGTGGCTTGCTTGACTAATTGGTGTGATCAGGGGGAGGGGTGGATGAGTTATTGTTTTGATGATTTGTATATTAAGTTTTTATTTTTTTGTAAACCACCAAGAGTCATTGAAAATGAGTGGGAAGCCACCAGGCAGATAGATAGGGCAGACAGGCAGAAGGACAATAGGTAGGTAGGTAGGTAGGTAGGTAGGTAGGTAGGTAGGTAGGTAGGTAGATAGGGGAGAGAGAAATAGATAGATAGATAGATAGATAGATAGATAGATAGATAGATAGATAGATGATAGAGACACAGATCTCTCTCTCTCATCTCTCTCTCTGTGTCTATCTATCTCTCTATCTATCTACTGTA